TAAGCCTTTGGTATGGCTGAGGCTGGAAAGAGGAAAACTACATTTCCCAGACTCCCTTGTAGCCAAGGTTTAGAATCTGACTCATTTCCACAGAGTCCCTTGTAGGGATATGAGATCTTGGGACCTGAGTTAAGTGGGAGAGAAGCAGGCCTCAGGACATCTTTTTGCTGGCATGGATGGTGCCAGAGAGAGCACCACTGCAGTCAGTGACTGCTGATGCAGCAGCTTCCTGCCGATGGAAGCAGCCTTTTTGGTCACAATAGACATGATGAATCTGGCAGCTGGGACTTGTTCCTGGAAATTCAGCAAAGATTCTGATCCTCTAGCCCTTCCAATAATTTTGCAAGTCACCGGGGAGCTGGTAATAAATCCTTGTCTAATTAAGCCAGCTAAACTGGCTCTTGTTTTTGCAGCAGGATCCTAAGTGAGATAGATGTCAAGTCTGAAGGCAGGAGCTAGCCAAAGGTCCCTCCCAGAGCTCAGGCCCTGATTAAAACTATTGCCCTCAGCAGCTTCTCTGCAGCCTAGCTGGTCACAGAGGCCTGGCTGAACGGGGCTGGCTGAACTCTGTCCAAAGCTGTTGGGGACTTCAATCATTCAGCGATGCTTGTCCTGCAGATGCCTTTAGTTGATGGACTCTACATCAGTCCCCAGGGTGCCCTTAGGTTGTGAGTAGGAAAGGGGTAACATGGTGAGACAGTAACATGTGGGCTCAACTACTAGGTACCTTCCACAGGACACAGCATCCTCTATGACTTGCTGATGAGTGGAAAAGAGCTCTTGGTACAGGGGTGGCAGGAGGGGGTGGGTCTTAGACAATTCTAGGAACAGCTATTGCCTGTGTGCACTGTGGGCTTGGTGGGGTCAAGGGTAAAATGGCCCATCACTAGCTCAGTCAGGGCAGGTCTTAGATAATGGGCACGGAAGATTCTGTATGTCTTTCAGGTTGTCAACTCCTGGTCACATCTGACAAATCCTAAGGCCAGGGCAGCTGGGCAGGAGGGGGACAGACAGAAAGAGGTAGTCCCTGCCCTTGAGAGGATGGGGATGAGGGTTGGGCAGGTGTTGCCCTGAGGAGAAGCCATGTCACGTCCCCACCAAAGTCAGAGCTACAGAATATCAATGCTGGGAGGGAGCTGAAGAATCACAGAGCACAACCTCCATGTCATAGACAGGGAAAAGGAGGTCGAAGGGTAAACAACTGGCCTGAGGCCTCAGAGTGATGGATGTGGGCTGAGTCCAGGCCTCCCTCTGCTGGGCTGGGCTTTTGCTGGTGGTAATGGCCCAGGAGGTTGTAGGCCCTTGGCCCAGACTAGATGCGGACTGTGTTGATCCGCAGTGGCTGGACATTCTTGCCATTGGCATGGCTCTGGCCGGGACTGAAGTAGGAGCAGAGCTTGCCTGGGAACTTCTCACGGAAGGTGTAGAGCCAGGACATGTCATCAGCATTGTAGAAGATAAGCAAGCCCTGGTCATAGTCCAGGAAGACGCCCACCTTGTCCAGCTTGTCACGGACATTGAGCCGTGTCCAGGGCTCCGTGCAGGCGCTGTACTGGTTACCATCATGCATGACAATGCAGTAGAAGCCACGGCTGGGCTGGATCTGGATGCTGCCCTTGCGGCTTGCAGCCTCGTGCGCCAGCCCAATCACCCACTGGGTCTTCTCTGCCACCACTACCTCCCAGTAATGGACGCCACTACTGAAGGCCTCAGAGCCCAGCACCGACACCTCCACATCAAAGCGCTTCGGTGAGTCCTGCAGTGGCTGTGGGTGCAAGTTTCCATAGGCCACAATGGTGCAGTCATCGGAGAGGATCAAGCGCTGGTGGGCAGTTCCCGGGTCCAGGGTCAGCGCAGCTGGCACTATGTGGGGTACAGGAGGGAGAGATCAGTGGAAACAAGGCTGTCAAGCCACTTCTCAGTTCTTTGCTGAGGACAGGGCTCTGGTTGGGCCCCAGATCACTGACCCACTGTGTGACCCTAAATACAAGCCTGCATTCCCTGGCCCTTACTTCCCCCTCTGTAAAAAGGAAGGATAATGGCTAAAGTCCCTCCAGCTTTACATTAGGCTGCAGGGGAGGACGGGTCATGGCTGGTTAGTTTCTGCCCGAGGCCCAGGACAAGGCACGTACTGGGGACTCCACAAATATTTGTAGAATTAACGCCTGTGAGGTCCAGAAAGAGAGAATTCCAGAGCTGGGAAGGAGTTTAAAGATCATCCAGGTGTTACTGACCCCAGAGAGAAATTTGGAAATCTGTGAAGGTGTTCGGGTTGTCTCCCTGACAGTGGGATCCAGGGATGCTAAAGACCCTGAATGAAATGCACAGGATGATCCTGCGTAGAGAAGGACTGTTCACTCCCAGCCCACCAGCAGTTTTCAAATGTTCCACTAGACTTTCTCATGGATGAAATATCTTTTTTTTGTATAATAATCTGGAACTACAACCTAACTCCACTGTATGAATAAACAACATAATTTCTGCAGCTTTAATAGATACTGAATGTTCTAGAACACAACTACCCAAGTGAAGGAAAGTTGGATTTAGGGTGGGGGCTTGGAACTTCATTAAAAATTGTTCAGTGTTTTGGAAGATACATCTCTAAGGATTGATACAATCTACCGGTATACTAGGATGGCATTTGAAGCAGAATGGTGTTTTACCTATGATAGAAGCATCTGACTACTTTATGTTTTCTCGTGTGGTTCTGAGTGAGCATCTACATATTGACATACAAAATATTTTATTAGTAATATTTTCCTTCTGTTTTTCCTTTATATTAGAGCATATCTATATATGTATATATGCACATATAATTATATACATACATATATACTTAGAATTGTGAAAAGGTTATATGATCTTTGAGACATTCCAAATTATGTTATGAAAAGTGGATATGTACCTGAAAACCACTATTTCTAAGCCAACTCTTCCATTTGACAAATGGGGAAACTGAGACCTAGAGAAGGGACGTGACTAATCTCAGGTCAGCAAACATTGACAGAACTGGGAAAAATCAAGGAGGCCATCATCAACATGGCTCCAGCCCTCTCTGCCAGCTCACTTGTCACTGGACATCTCCACCCCACTCAGGCCCAAACCTTTTGCTCACCCCCTGCGCCCCACTTCCACACACCCCCCAGCTTCCTCTCTGCTCCTGGGATCACACATGGGAGCCTCCTGGGGGCCCAGCAGGTGGGCTCCCTCTCTCCTCTGGAATCCCTGCACTGTGGTCATGCCTGGAGCCTAGTCTTCTGCGCTCACATCTGATCCCTTCACACCAGAAGGGCAAGAGGGACTGTGTACTGGTCACCTTGGCTTTCTCCTATGTGTCCAGTGCCCAGCACAGAGCCTGGCATGGTACAGCCTTGTGGAAATGCTCAGCAAATTAGGCTGACTCCATTTGGGTTGGGCAGATGGTATGGGCTGGGTCACCTGCGTCTGGGCTGGCCATACCGGCTTAACAGGTCTGATCTCAAAATCTCACGAACTTTTGTGGAGACCTTTGTTTATTCTTTCTTCTGAGGGTACTGATAGCCAGGCAGAGGAGCAGAGGGAATCTGGGCTCCTTTTAGTTTGGATGGTCATTTCCAGGATACATCAAGACAGAGGGAAGGAAAAGTATGTGTGTGTGGGGAGAAACGGGGGCACCAGTGCCTCAGGGTGAAGGAGTTCGCCATCCAGTCCCCTGATCTAATGGAGCAGGGACCTGATGGCCCTTGGCTGGAGCATTACTCCCTATTTCAGGTACTTCTCTGAAATCAAATGACAGTCATGGTGACTGTCCCTACAGGGAGCCACAGCCAGGCCCCGACGGTCTTTCTGTTCCTACATCCACTAACAAGCTGACCACTGACATGTGTCAAGCTCCTTCCATGATCTCTATCAGGAGTAAATTCAGTTTTGCATTTTATACTCTTCTTACTGCTCTTAGAACTCAGAGGGCTGTGTGGAAACACTGATCTCTGGGAACAAAAAGGTCGATGGCAACACAAGTCTCTATCCAGGGATAAAGAGGGGAGCCAGGCGAAGAGAGACAGTGAATCAGTGGGTGAAGGCTTTGTCACCAGCCTGACAGGCCACAGGGCAGCAGGTGAAACCAGAAGGCTCCTGCCCTGTGGAATGTGGGGAATTCCCACAGAGGGGTGGGTCTGGAGGAAATGGAGGGGTGAGTGTGTGGCCAGGAGGGCCAGGGAAGGAACCTAATTAGATACTGATGGAGCTACCCCAGGGCTGTGGGATGTGTCTGTGGCAGAGGGATGAGAGCAACAGGGTGGCCCAGGCCCCAGGTGAGAGCAGCAGCAGTTCTGAATGGCAGGATGGTGGGATGGGTGTGGGGGACCTGGGCTTCTTACTCCAGGTGCCCAGGAGTAAGGAGGTTTTTGCCTGTTGAGACCTACAACAGGTAAAAACGTGGGCTCAGGGCAAGAGGGCTCTGAAGTCTGGCAAACAGGCATGAGAACTCAGCCTCAGACTCTTAAGCCTACGTAGGGCAATGTAGACCACTCCTGAGACACTGATGAGTCAGGAGGGCAGCCACGCAGGCTCTCCCATAGCTCTGAGACCAGGTGTACAGAGAGGAGGAGCCTGCAGGGCGGAGGAAGTCCTGACCCTACCAAGCACATACTGCAATAGAAGGGGGCGGAGTTAGGGGCGGGGCCTGATTCCTGGGGGAGGACTGGCCTCCTAGGGGGCAGGGCCAGGGGCGGGGTCTGGTATTCATATTAGGCAGGGGGTGTGGACTGACTCTAAGGAAGCTTTCACAGCCCAAAGGGTGAGGCTGGGGCAGGACCTCCCTCCTCACCATTATCTGAGGGTCCCGTACCTCAGGGCTTCTTCCACCTTCCCCGGAGTGGGTAGGAGTAACTAGAGGGGCTCAGAGGGGGCGTGGCAACCTCCTGCTCTGGGACTGACTGGCAGCCTTCCCATCCATTCTTTACCCTCCTGAGAGGTGACAGACGGCCTGCCAACTCTATTTCACAAGGCGGAGCTCATTTCTCGTTGTGGGACTGAATTCAGGAACATGAAATGCCAGCGTGAAGCAACTGACTGGTCTCCAGGTGTGAAGCCTCACTGAGGCTCCAGGTAAGAAGGCATTCAGGAAGGGTCACCAACTGTGGAGGTGCAGGAAATGTTTCCTGGTCCGTGTCAACTATCACCCAAGCATGAGAGAAAGCCCTTCCTAGGGCACAGCCCAGCGCCTTCATTTGGCTGCCAGTGGCTTATGTTTCTCTATTCTCAAGAACAGGGGGCCGGGAGTAGCTGGACCAAAATGCATTCACTCTTTTCTCCAGCCAGGCTATAAAACAATCTGGTCCATTGGGCCTCCCACCTACTCAAGGCCCTCCACTGCACAGAGCAGGCATTGCAGAAATCTTCCTATCCCCTAGCTCCTGGGAACACAGTGCAGTTCCAGGGGCACACATCATGGTACCCATTTTGCAGAAGAAACTGAGGTTCCCTGAGGTAAGTGACTGGCTCAAGTTGCCACTTGTGGTGAAAGCACAGTTGGAATGTGGGTGGAGGTCTTTTCATATCCTGTTCTCTCTCAGGGCCCCAGAAAGCCTGCTCAGCAAGTCAGAGGAACCACTTGAGGACTCACCACAAGGCTAACAAATAAGCACCAAGTACCTAGTTATAGGATTACGATCACCAATGAATAATTTAATTCTCATATTTACCTTGGAAAAGAAATGCAACTACCCCTCTTTTGGAGATAAGGAAAGGGGGTATTTTGCCTTGGGTCACACAGTTGGGCAGTAACATGCTGGGACAGACTCAAAGTGATTAGGTACAGGTGAGCAGGGGAGGGGAGAGGGCACCCAAGGGGAGGAGGCGGGTGGTGAGAGGAGCAGTGTCTGGTGTCCTCAGGACAATGGGCTGCCTGGCTCACAGGGGAGGCTTGTGCCCGGAAGCTGGGGCCGTCAGGTCCAGCAGGCAGAAGAGGGCCAGTGGGAGGAGCAGAGCAGGGGTGGGTGGTGGTCAAGAGAGGAAGTTCCAGAGCAGGGGAGTTAGGTGCCAGATGGGGTCCTCAGGGGACCCAATAGCAAGCCTGAGCTCTAGGGGAGGGGCAGGCAGGAAGCTGCTAGAATCCCCAGCCCAGTCCCTGGGGGCAACCCTCCCACCTGGACATAAAGGGCTCTGGTGCTGGCAGGGAAGCCAGAGTGACTTCACAGGCCCCACAGACAAAGGAAGGGGCCCAGCCAACAGGGTCACTGTTCTTTGAAGTCCCAGGGGCCTCTGCTCTGAGCAGGATGTTCAGGACACACACTGCTGCTCCCTCAGCCCTTCTGTGGGCAGAGTTCTCTGGGACAGTGGTTCTCAATTCGAGCACTTCTGCTTTCCAAGGGAGAACTGGCAAGGCCCAGAGACACTTTTTAGTAGAACCAAGGAGCTGGGGCTACTGGACAGAAGCCAGGGAAGCTGCCAAGCATCCTACCATGCACAGGCAGTGCCCACAACAAGGCTTCACAGTCAGTCATTGGGCTGAGGCCAATAAACCCTGCTCATGGGCTATCAGCAATTTGCCCACTTGGCTGCTGTCTTGTGAATGAGGTGGGAAGGAACATGGCATCCTTGTTGTTCCAGGGAAGGGACTTGTCCAAGACTGGGCTGGAAGTTTCTTCAGTTAGTATTCACTGGACACCTACTATATGCTAGGCACTATTCTAAAAGCAGAACGGGGACTAGGACTCATTATTTTTATTCCTCAACAAACACTGACTGTGCTGGCTACTGGAGATGAACCAGACCCAGCCTCTAACCCCTCAGAGCTCACAGTCCAGACAGAGATGGCTACACAGACACTGACAATACTGTGAAACCAGGAAAGTCCAGAACCGCCTGGAGAAACCCAGGAAGGCTTCTCGGAGGAAGAGTTTAAAAAGTAACGCATGAAGGAGAACAGACATTGACCATAAAGACTAAGGACGGTGTGGAGGGCTCCAAGCAAAGGGAATAACATGTACAAAGAGTGGAGGAGGGAGAATATGGCTCACATAAGGCCTCAAGATGGTTCAATGTGGCTGAGTGTGATACGGAGGGAAGAAGAGGCTGAATACCATGCTGGGGTGCCTAGATGGCCTCTCTGAGCTGTGACAGGGATGGAGTAGGCGGCAGCTGAGGCAAAGAGTGCTCCCTAGACCTCCTACTTGAGGGGCTCCCCTGGAGCTGAGAGAATGGGGTGCTGGAATTCTTGCCTCCCTTGAGCAATGCTGTTTCACCCATGGGTGGCCCTCACCCTCCTGGGCCCTGTGTGAAGTCCCTCTGGGGCTGGGAGTAGACAGTGACCCCCTCCCCAGGAGGACACTCAGAAGCACCATCCAGCCTGCTTGAAAATGGGCCCCTCCCGCATCTGCTGCTCCTTTGTGAACAAGGGCACAGGTCGACGTGTAAGAGCACCAGGGACCTCCTTTCACATCTGTGAAATCAGTAATGACACATCTAATGAGGGCCCAGTCACCTACAGGGGAGCCCCAGCTCTGGGGTCCAGCATTCACCCCACACAGTGACTGTCCTGGCCTCTGGCCATCCTTCCAGGTCCTCAGTGTAGACATCCTGGGATCCCCATGCCACTGGCCCCCACACCCCTCAGTCTTCAGCACCCAGCCCAAACATCTGTTGTTCCAGTGCCCCTCTTCTCCCCACTCAGAGCCTCCTGTTGTCCCATCTGGGCTTCCATGGCACGTGTAAGAACCTCATCACAGACCTTGTTCACTGGACTCTTGGGGTCTGGCTGCTTTTCTGCCTCCCCTGACTCCTGAAAGTGCTTCAAAGGACTTTTACTGTTTGTAGAGAGAGCAAAATAATGAATCCAGACAGGTAGAAATCTGAATCCTGTGTGACCTTAGGAAATGAGCCTTAATCTCCCTGCACTGTCCCCAGTTGACACATGTAAGGCCAGAGAAGGGCCAGTTAGCTTAGTTTGTAGGGGTGCAGGCACTGGGGTTTGACTTCAGAGTTTTAATCTTGGCTGCACCATTTCCAAGTTGTGACCATGGACAAGTTTCTAACAGCTCAGTTAGGTGCCTCAGTTTCTTCCTCTGAAAAAGTGGGGATATTAATATGCTACCCCTTAAGAAAGAATTTCCTTCTATACTTGTGTCTTACCTGTCACTGACTCAGGCACACACAGGGCTCCCTGCTGTCTGAAGGTCTGACTCTGCCCTTGTGGCTTGTGTAGTTCGGGAAGGCACTGACCTCTGAGTCCCAGGGGGTGCTAACCCCACTAGAGACCTATTTAGGTCCTTCCCTCTCCCTGCAGACCTCTCATTACCTGCTCCCCATCTCAGTGGATGGCCTTGCTTTCCCCCTCGCTGGGAAAGGTGAAGCCGACAGAAGACAGTTCCCACATGCTCCTGCCTCTGCCCTCTCTGCCCAGTGCCCACATATTCTGCATTCTCTGGGCTCCTGGGGATGGACTGTCTGGGCCTCAGCCAGGCAGCAGATCCCACAGTGGGTGGCAGCCAAGGCCAAGGCCCCAGCAACTCTCTCCATCTTTTTTTTTTTTTTTAAATACTAAGGATCCAACTCAGGACCTTGTGCTTGTGAGGCAGGTGGCGGCACCACTCAGCTAAATCCTGGGCTATAATCCTCCTCTATTTTTTTTTTTTTTTTTGGTACTGGGGATTGAACTCGGGACCTTGCACTTTCAAGGCAGGCAGTGGCCCTCTCTCCATCTTGATTTTGTCCTCCTATCAACTCTTTGCCATCACCCACAGTAGGCTGGTATTTCTCCTCTCTTGCAAAACCAGCCACTGCCACATTCTTTCTCTTTCCCTTCAAAGTGTCATCTCTACCCACTGTCTCCCTTCTCTCTAAGATGGGTTCCAATCAGGCCTTTACCCCCATTGGTCCACCAAAACAGCTCTTGTCAAGGTCACCGATGACCTCCCTGTTGCTAGACCTGGAGAAGGAGCCACACTTGACTTGGCAGCCTTTGCCACCACGAACCATTCTCCCTCCAGAAATGTCCCCCTCTGCTTGGCTTCCAGGACACCTAGGGTGCCATGCTGCCTCGCTGGCTGCTCCTTCTCAGTCTTCTTGGCTGAGTCCTCTGACTTCTAGTGGTGCTCCTGGCTCCAAATGCCAGGGTGGCCCTCTGCTCTATCTATCCTTGCTTCCCAGATGACCCATCCGGGCCCACTAACTGCTGTCCTTGTGCTGATGACACCAGTCCTGGCCACTTTGCCAGGCTGCACACTTGATTCCAATGGTCTCTCCAACATCAGTACAAGACATCTCAGGTGCCTCACACACCTCACCGGCTCACAACTCCATGCTTCGTCACTGTAGCCAGAACCCTCTACTCTTCCTCATCTTCCACCTCTCACACTTGAGACCCAATCCTGTTGGCTGAGCCTCCAAAATACCTCCTAACTCTGACCACTTCTCACCCCCTCCCCAGCCACCACCCCACTCCAAGCCACCACGGTTATGCAGTTGTCTTCTCCACCCTTTGTTTCCTTCAGCTTATCCTTAACCAGGTAGCCAGAGGGATTCTTTACAATCTTAGGCTGGCTCATGTCACGTCACTGCCCCAAATCCTCCAATGGCCTTGGTTTCAACATTGAATTTGAAGTGTTCGCATTGGTCTATAGGCCCTCATGGTCTGACCACTGCTACCTTCCTGACCTCTTTACCACTACTCTCCCTCATTTGTCCCAGTCCAAGTCACCCGGCCTCCTTTGCTGTTCCTTGGACGTGTCAGGCAAGCCTCTGCTACCTTGTACCTGCTGTTCTTCCCTCAGACACCTACATGGCTTACCCTCCTTTCTTCTGATCTCTACTCTCATGCTTCCTCTCCCTGAGATCTTCTATCTGGACCTTCTATCTAAAGTCTCTACCCTAATTTAACTTCCTTTGGCTTCCTTTCTTATTCTTCATCAGTATCTAATATATCATGTATTTTTTTTCACTTATTCATTTGTTTATTTTCTCTCTCACACCCTAGCATGTAAGATCTGCAGGACAGGGGTTTTGTGTCTATTTTGATCACCACTCTATTTTAGCATCTAGAACAGTACCCAGGCCAGGGAAGGTGCTCCGTAGGTACTGCATGTTTAGAATGAGGCAATGAAGGGCCC